TCGTCCGTCCATTCTGCATCCGATGCCGCTAAGTGATGGCCGTCCATTCTTTCCTCACTCGTCTGCTTCCACGGCGCGAAGAGCGGGCGGTGCTTGGCGACGGACTCGGCAACGCCCTCACGCCCACGCCCACGCAACGCAGGCGCCACCATCTCGGCGGCGGCCTCGCCTCCTAGACACCGCCCCCGTTTACGCCCGACGATCCGCCGCCATGTCTCGGGTCTCCACGATGCCACAATCTCCTCGTGCTTTCGCGGATGCGCACGCTCGAAGTCGACACGCTCGCTCGACGCTGGCTTGGGCTCGCCGCAGAGCAACACCTCCTTCGCTCTCGTGACTTCGACAAGGCTGGAGGACCTCCTTCGCTTCCGGCGCCGGCGGCATAGGCAAGACCGATGATGGCGCTCAACCACATCTCCAAGTCGGCTCTACAACAACGCCCGAGGAGTCAAGGTGTTGCATTTGCTCACGCACGCGTGAAGCTTCTTCATCCCGGTCTTTCTGCTGCTTGCCGATCTGCTTTCGAGTCGGTCGCCGGCGCTCTGACGACGCCACACTCGGGACGGCAAGCTGCTTTGGGGCGAATGGCGCCGCAGGCGACGCCTGGTTCGGGGAGATTGCCGGCGCGCACCGCACGTATCCAGCAGCTCCACGGCCACGCCGCCGCCGGGCGATGGGGTGCGGCGTCGACTACTACACCCTCCTCGGGGTGGAGCGTGTCCGTGTCCCTGTTCTTTAGGGGCCGCACAGCAGCCAAACTCCAAGGGAGGTCGTGTCCGTGTTGCTGCCCTTCATCTGGAGCACCTGCGGGCTGCACGCGGGCTCACCCGGATGAGGCTCGGCGCGGGCGGTGAGGTTCACGTTCCTAAACCGAAGCACGGACTGACGGACACGCTGGGGCTGGCCGGACGTCCTGTCCAGCATACCGTGCGGCAGCGTCCAGGCGAAGGAGGGCAAGTGCGAGGAAGAAGACCGTCTTGGACCCCTCCGCAGCGTCCCGACTTAGCTTCCTCCATGGCTACGTGCAAGCTTTTCTCTCCTCCACGGCGCGCGGGCGTGGCGCGAGTGTCCTGCAGACGCACGGTGGCACGAGTGGCCTGTGGCAGGACGGGAGGACACGGCGGGGGCTCGACGCAAGTGTCCTGTAGTGGCACGAGGCGACGCGAATGGCCTGCAGTGGCGCCGCGGCGCGGCGCTAGAGGCCTACGGTGGCTCGGCATGGGAGGTGTCTGCGTGGGACTGAAATGTGCCCGCTCCAGGTGAACTTCCAGCTGTAGCCGAGCTTCAACTTTCGCTCGTGCCTGCCACGGCCGCCTGGCTCCCCGCCTGCACTGATGACTGCCGTCAAGCCGACCTCTGTGTCCCGAGGACGCTTGAGAATCGTGGGCTCGCGGCCACGCAAGAGGACTACAGTCTGTAGAGCTGCTGAACAAGGCCCTCCAAGGTCCAGATCCTAGCAACGCTACTATAAACAACTTTGAGCAGGCAAATTAGCATGGAACAATCAAGCACCAAACCCCACAAATGCTCTTTGGTTCCTCATAATATCTGAGGGGTAAGTTGGTCATTTCTTGTACCACTTAACGTCGTTAGAGGCCACAGCTGACGGTAAGGCTAGATTAGAAATCAAAAGTTCAAGTGAGGCCAAATAGGTAAGAAAATTTGTTCCAGGGTCGAGGAAGAAAAGCAAGTTTCAATCAGGGTCAAATAAGAAATTCTCTCCTTTTTTTTGGTCTAGACGTGTAAATCTTCTTTTTTTCCCCAAATAGAGTAGCACAAATCGAAAAAAGTATAAAAATTCTAATGTAAGAGTAGTGAATTGAACCATTATCTTAGCTTTGCCTAGAAAAATTTCACCGCTAAGCTATTGATGTGTTTTTGAACTTTTAACGTAAGTCGTCCTATTTGAAGTATATTTCATAATCACTGATGGGTCGGAACCCTAATTATTGCCGAAATCATGTCCGACAGTGGACAATCTCGGCAGTGATTGATTTGTCACTACTGGATTACGTTCCCTCAATTGTACATACCAGCTGAGCTACGAGAGACATGTGATTGATGTTATTCTTCTGACTACACAATTTAAATCTTATATTGTATATTTGACACTATAAATGGTCTCAAATGAAAATGTTGTTAATTGCAAAGTTGTAGCTCCCGTTGAGTACTACAACTTTGATGTTGACTTTGTCTTTATTCGATATGGTTAACCATCTCAAAACCCGATCTGAGAACTTACATTGAATATTTAGACACATAAACCATCTCAAATTAAAAAAAATATCAACTACAAAGTTTTGGATCTCCTTGAACTTTTCAATTTCAATATAAAGTTTATCTCATATAAAAAAGATAATGTTTTATTTTACAAAACAGACTATCACTGTTAGTTCATGGCTTCAACCAACAGTGATATCACTGCCGACTGAAGACATGAACCAACAATGATAGGTCCATTTATCACAGCTACCACGAATCGGCAGTGATAAACTAATCACTATCAGCTCTAACACAACTAGCAGTGATGGTCTAACAGTGATTTCGTGTTCTAGTGTAGGGAGTCGATGGTTCAACATGATTGCCTAATAATAACTAAATAAACCAAACCATTGAGTGAGAAATAAAACATTTTTTCTATACCTGTGTCATGTCGTCTCTGCCGAGAATTATATAATAGGGAGAGCTGGTCGCCTCGTGCAAGATGAGTTTAAGAGAGCTGAGGCACCTGCGAATTTGAGGAGCATGTTCGAGTTTGTTTGTTTGGTCTCCATTTCCAGGTATGGAAATAAACTGCTTTAGGCACGTTTCTAATATGAACTATTTACAAAAAAAGAAACATTGGTATATACTCCATCTATCTAGCGCAATTTCATTTGTCCTAAGTCAACCTATTTTATATTGAACTACAATTATAAGGAAACATATTAACTTAGTCGCAAAAAAAGGAAACATATTAACTTCTACCACATCAAAAAGTTAAGTTATAAAAATACATTCCATAATGTTTCTAATGGAGCTTATATGATGTCAAAAATATTATTATCCTTTTCTATAAATTTGATCAAACTTAAGATGTGCTGACTTAGCATAAATGAAAAAACACTATATTCAGCACGAATGGAGTGCCTAATAAAGCACTAAGCGTTTCCTTGCCCTTTGCTCTCTCTCCCATGTCTGTATAAATTTTAGAGCAACAAGTTCGGACATGATGGGAAGTCCAATTCTACGATGCAATGGAACGCATGACACGATCAACAATTGTTCAGGTTGTTGTAGAATGTCATATATCCCGTTGCAACAAGGCAAGAGCATATTTGTTGTCTAGTCTATATATCTATATGAGATATATATATATATATATATATACACACACACATACATATACATATATATATATATATGTGTGTGTGTAATAATATTAAAGAGCGAAGAGTTTCTTTTGTTCCATATTTTTACTTTTCAAACTGCTCTCGCATCATCTGTAACCCATATGTGACCTGGATTCATGACCTGTGCTCGTATGAGCTTGAATAACTCGTGCTTAGGGATGATATGAAGTCTAATTTCAAAATGTATTGGGTTCCGTACAATGTCAGGCAAGTTTGCTGAAAAAAGTGGCTTCTATTAGATCCTCCTCACAAACCTAATAAAAATTACTACAAAACTACCATTAGAGGTGTTTTAACCAACGTTTTTCGAACTGCTCTAGCTCCACCAGAGAAGCTGCTTCGTAGGAGAAGCCGGAGTTGGAACTGTTTTAGGAGCCAGAGCCCTACAAATAGGGCCTTAGTTTTAACTCCAAATAATATGAAGCTTGTACCAAACTCCATTATAATAAGCTGTGAAACGACCTGAGTCGGCCGGCGTGATGTGGCTAGCCGGCCAAGACCTCAAAAGCCTGCCGGCCTAACATTAAGGGCCTGCCGGCCTAACATTAAGGCCTGTTTGGAGGGGCTCCAGTGGCTATGGCTCCGGCTACTGTAGCACCAATGTGGAGGAGCCGCCGGAGCCTTCAAACACTGGCTCCTCCAGGTCCTCCCTATTCCTAGTTAAAAACTGCCAGAGCCGGAGCTGCTGCAATGACTGCTACAGGATTGCACAGTGATGCATAGGACATGCGCAGCCGGAGCCGGAGCCCTGCGGAGCCAACCAAACGAGGCCTAACATACATCTTTTTTGCTGATATCACAGCTGGGTGGCCGGCGCCTGACCGGGCTAGGCAGCAGCAAGCAGGAGGTGGCAGGTGGCTGAGAGTTGGGCCTGGTTGAATGAGTTTTGAATGATTACAAACATTTTTTATTGATGAAATGGATGATTACAAACTTTACACTACTACTCCCTCCATCCTAAAAAGAATACAATTATGAGTTATGTGCCTGTTAAATTAGTTACAGTGAATAATATTCATATTTATGGCTCCAAATTATTTTTTTATGAAAATATATTTCATAATTAATCTAATGATATTTATTTGATACTATAAATATTGATAATTTTTATTTATAATTGGTCAAACTTGATGTAATAAAACATGACATTGTGATAGAATTGCATTTTTTTCTTGAACGGAGGGAGTGCTGTCTATTATAGCGTGTTTAAAAGCAACAATACACTCTCTTCATTCTAAATTGTAATTTGTTTTGTATTTTGTTAATTTTTATTATGTATTTAGATAGGCACTATCTCTACATGTTTTTTATCTAGAAAAGTCAAGTTGACTTAAAATTAAGAACAGAAGGATTAAGATATTACTTCTCCTGATCAGTGGTTCAACTTGGAGTCTTGGACATTGCTGGTGGACTGCACTGTGGCAGTTCTTTTTTTTATGAAACTAGAGGGGGGCATAGCCCCTACAAGAGGAATTTATGGCAGTTCTTTTTTTGTGTGTGTTTTTACATTACAGGGAATTAAATTTCAGTTTTCATCTTTGAAAGAGCAAAATATGTTGTGGTGTGAATGAACTCGAATCAATAGTACCTAGTAGGTATACGTACTCACTAAAACAATGCATTACGCTGTCATAAAAAAGGGTGCAAAGTTTACAAGTTGGGTTTAAGGGCACTCACAATGCAGAAATTTGTGGTAGTTTCTATAGATATTAATTGCACTGTCACGTAGCCAATATGCTGATGTAACAAGAGATTTAATGAGAAGAGAGATAAAATCCAAGAAACCAGGTCTAACTAAGAAACTGTGTCTTCACGGTTATCAATGGACAAGAAACTACTCGTTACCACATTGGGAGAGCAAATATGGTTTCTATCGCTACTTATGTCCTATGCTATAGAAAATCTTGCACTGGAAAGGATAGTTTCTTGGTACGATGTCCTATGTTGTAGAAACTGTTAATAGTTTCTTGCATTGTGAGTGTCCTAATAACGGGTCCAAAAGGCCTTAGGTGGCAACTGCAGGTTATCAGCGTTGCTCTCAAACATTTCAAGGACTTCGCCCATGGAAGGCCAATCGGCTAGTTTGAACTGTATGCACCACAAGCCAATTATGATCATCTTCCTCACGAGCACTTCCGTGGTGTCGCTGCTGCTGATCTCGCTGGTTGTGAGGCCACAGAACTGATCCAAGTTTTCATCCAACCATTGCGGAAAATACTTGCTGCTGTTGTCATCTGTACTACCATCGATTTTCTTCCTTGCTCCGACCATCTCAAGGACAAGCATGCAATAACTGTACACATCAGCCTTGCTGCCCACTGGTCCATAGTTTCTTGAGAATACTTCAGGGGCTATGTACCCTATAGTGCCTCTTGCCCTAGCAATGGAGATTCTACTCTCCTTTTGTCGGCACAGCTTCGCTAATCCAAAATCCGATATCTTTGGACAGAAGTCCTGATCTAATAGAATGTTGTGTGGTTTGATATCGAAATGCACAATGCGGGTGTTACAGCCCGCATGGAGGTACTCCAATCCTCGTGCAATTCCTTTGACAATGTCGAACAGTTTATCCCAACTCAAACTGTCTTCTCCTTCAGTAGAATTGCTACCAAAAGTGTACCTCTCAAGGGAACCATTGGGCATGTACTCGTAGAGGAGAGCTCGTTTTGATCCTTGAAGGCAATATCCTACCAGAGTAACGATGCTGACATGAGATGTTCTACTAATACTAGCCACCTCATTCATGAATTGCTCACCATCGCCTTCGATGCCCTTCAGCATCTTAACAGCTATCTCACGACCATTGCGCATGTTGCCTCTGTAAACAGAACCATAGCCACCATGGTCGAGCTTGTGAGAAAAAGACTTGGTCATTCTTTTCACTTCTGAATAAGTGTAACCTTTCGGCTGTAAAGTTCCTTGATTTTGCAAAAAAAAAAATTCAATCCTTGGTGAATTTCTTGGCCCTCTCTGCCTTAGTATCATGACATAACATCTTTTATATAGCACATGAAGACTGTGAGAACGATTACGCAAAAACCAGAGAGGCCTGAGGTGCCCGCTATAATATCTGAAAATAGACACTAAATAAAATTATCTATGTGAAAGTATGTTGCAAAATGCCCATAACATTATATTATTTTAAAAACAATGAACTGCCGGGCTTGTTAGATGGAGTCATTTCAAAGCTAGATTTTCATAAGGCGTAAGATGAAGTCAATTCGTCTTTCTTTCATCTAACGTTGAGGATGAAAGGGTTTAAATTTGGTATGATGTAAATGGATCAATCATATGTGCATAGGGGAAGTGTAGGAATTAAAGATGATGAGATGGATCACTATTTTCAGTCCAAAAAAGGTCTCCATCAAGGAGACCCCCTCTCTCCTATCCTTTTAAATTTGGTAGCTGATATGTGGCTATCCTTATTGAAAGGGCTAAGGAGAATGGAACTTTTGAGGGAGTTATCCCTCATCTGGTAGACAATGGACTATCCATTTTCTAGTACATTGATGACACAATCATCTTTATGGAACATGATTTAAATCTGGCCAAACAAATTAAACTAGTGTTAAGTACATTTAAGCAATTATTTTGGATAAAGATCAATTTCCACATAAGTGAGCTTTTATGTTATGGTAAAGCCGTAAAGCTAAGGATAATGTTGAGGAGTAAGCACGCCTTTTTGGTTGAACCTCAGGGAGCACTCCTTTTAAATACCTAGGCATCCCTATGCACCATAGAAAATTTTACAGTAATGACTAGATTATGATTGAGAGGTTTCAGAAAAAGATGTGCAGCTGGAAAGGAAAACTCCTCTCAATAGGAGGATGGCTTGTTTTGATCAACTCAGTGTTGACGAGATTATCCATGTATATGCTTTCCTAGCTTCTTTAAGGTCCCTAGAGGAGTCCTTCAAAAATTACACTACTATCGCTCTCGATTCTTTGGGCAAAATGATGATGAACACAAGAAAAAGTATAGACTCACTAAGTGGAACATACTGTGCACACCCAACGATTTTGGTGGGTTAGGCATCCAAAACCTAGATATCCAAAATAAGTGTCTCTTGAGTAAATGGTTTTTTAAACTTATCAATAAGGAAGGAACCTGGAAAGACCTTCTAAGAAGGAAATATCTTGTCAAATAAACCTTAACATAAGTCAAAAATGACCAGGTGATTCTCAGTTTTGGTCCAGACTTATGAAAGTCAAAGACCAATTCTTGGCAAGAGGATCTTTCTGAACCCATAGTGGTACTGAAGTCCGGTTGTGGGAAGACACATGGGTTGGCAACAAACCTCTCAAAATTGATTACCCATCTCTATACAATATTTGTGAAGGAAAAGGATGCAACGGTTGCACATGTACTAAGTACCAGACCTTTTAATATTTCATTCCGAAGGGCTTTGGTGGATAGTAACTTGACTGCATGGTATGATCTTGTGTCAAAAGTAGCATTTGTTAACCTATCTAATGACCAAGATATTTTAATTTGGAGCTTACACAGCGGTGGTATTTTCTCGGTATGCTCTATGTACACTTCTATAATACAGTGCGGAGTAGTTCCTACTAAGTGCCCAATTTGGAAGATTAGAATACCACTGAAAATTAAATCTTTTTTATGGTATCTTAACAAAGGTGTTACTCTTATGAAAGATAATCTTGCAAAAAGAAACTGGCAAGGTCTTCGCTAAGTTCGGATGGGAAGATATCGAATAGAATTGAAGCTTAGCCTCCTTTCTTTTCAGTTATCTAGACTTTTGGTTTTATATCTTATCTCCCCGATGTATTTTGGTATGAGCCTAAGAGCTCGTGGTTTGTATTTGAACAGCTGTGTATATCGTCAAATGATATACAGGTTAGAACATCGTTCCATTATCTAAAAAAAGGCAGAGAACTATCTGTTGTTCTAAAAGGAGAAACTCTAGTGGCTAGAAGCCCAGAACTCAAATAAACACATGTGTTCGATGTTATTTGTTCCTTTCAAGACTTTATGAGTATGATATATAAGATGTTCCTAAGTGTATTTCTGCTAGTCTTAACAATAAAAAATCTTCATCAAAGAACATAAATAGGCCAGGGATTCTTACATAATCTGATCTTGTTGTTATGTGATGAGCCAATATTCGGTGTAACTGGTGAGTTGTTCGGCAGCGATGCAATGCTGGAGCCCCCTAGAATTGGCGAGCCATTTGGTGGATCTGCTGCGACAGCTGAGTTAACAAATAGATCGGTCAAATTATCAGTTATCGTTCTTTAAAAAATGCTAATTATTGGATCTTTAGTGGAATATGAGAAGTAAATTATGAATAAATCTTTTTATCACTGATATGTACATTTAGTCAGTAATTGAACAGATCAAATGCAGAAACCCACTTTGTTGGTCAATCCTGGCCTAGATTGCTCCATATGTGTCACGGTCATGTAGACACTACACATATAAAACTATAGTTGGCCCCACGGATGGATTGTTTCTTCAAAATATATAATTTCCATTCCAAACACCTTTCTCTCCAGTGGGGCCAACTATAAGTATATATTTTGATGAAAGACAGATATTTTGATCAAAATATTAATATTTCAAGAGAGAGTAGTAGTATACTCTCTCTGGTCTAAATTATAAGTCGCTTTGACTTTTTTTTGGTACACTTATTTTGCTATGCATCTAGATATAATAATATGTTTAGATACATGACAAAATGAATGAAAAAAAAAATCAAAGTGACTTATGATTTGGAACGGAGGGATTAGTATTTTCTTACCGTTAGTAACAAGCTTGGCTCTGTAACTGTAACTAGTGTTGTCGTTGTAGTAATAGTTCCACAGCATGATGACGCCGTAATTTAGGGAGCCGTCCACCACCGGCAGCACATGTGACACTAGGGCTGTCGGGTCTATGTACCCAGTAGCCACTGCATCAGGCGAGGCTGGCAGTCCAAGAAACACCGACGCCGACGGCAAGGACTGCGTCCACTTCTTCCACCACGTCTCCAGGTTGCTCATGTCTCCGTTCTGGTAGTCGCACCCGGGGTTGTTGTAGAACCGAGGCCAAACGTGGTCGAACAGCCCCTTGGCGAGCGCTGCAGCGAGGAAGTCGTCCGGGTACATGCACTGCGGCGCCGCGGTGAGCAGGTACTTCCTCCCTCGCCTGTCGCCCTTGTACAGCGATGTCAGGTTCTTGGCGAGGTCGTCGTAGTGAATGGCCTGACCAAGCTCGATGTCAAAGTCGATGCCGTCAAGCACGGCGCCGCCGAGCGGCCGTGACGCGGAGCTGCCGCCGAGGAAGTTGTCCCAGAGGTAGGTGGCCACGCTCTGCGCGTCCAAGGCGGAGGAGAGGCTGTAGTTTCCCACGCCGCCACCGATACTGAGGAGCACCTTGATGCCTCGGGCCTGGCAGGACGCGATGTCCACGACCAGGCCTGTGCAGCCGCCTGATCCGGGATCGCAGCGTCCGGCGAAATTGAGGACCGGTGTCTGGCCACCGCCGAACGCGCAAAGGAAGGCGATGATCACGAAGGCGTAGCGGCCGGTGCTGCATGTCGTGGCCAGGCTGCTCTCGTCGCTCTGGCCCCAGTAGACGGAGATGTTGACGGCAGCGCCACCGGGGGCTGCAGCTGCTGCGCCAGCCAAGAGCAAGTAGGCGCAGAGAAGCTTGCTGTTGCAGGCCATTATTATTTCTGTGGATCCACACGTTCTTCTTCCGATCCACGCTTTGGTTGCAAACTAAACTTGCAATGGCGGCTATGGACTTGTGGGACACGGTAGACTCTTTCTTGGTGAAGAAACTCCGTACTTGACAGCGCCAAGGTAAAAAGAAGAGTCGGACAATTAGCATCTGCTCGGATACTCCTTCCTCGACGAATAAACAGCGGATGCCCGGACAATTAGTTGTTGACTGGTGAGCATAAGTGGTTTGTGGCGCTTGTTTTGTTCGCGGGAGGTTATGTAGTGAGTCTTAGTGGATGTTTGTGACCGCTACACTCCACGTTTTTAGCTCCACAGAACTCTACTGCATGTTTTTAGCCAAACAGGTTCAACTCTACGCAACTCTGCTCCAGAAAAAAAGTGTAGTTGTGAGAGCATCTAAAGGGTGCTCCACAAACTCTTAGTATTTTGTGGAGCTGCTCCACGGTGTGGTGTGTGGAATAAAGTTCGTAAAGCAGTTCCAAACAGCTCTACAGTGCCGATGTACCTTGATAGAGCTCCAACTTAGACTAGATGTTGCATTTTGACAACCGAAATCACGGAAAACATCATCTCATTTCAAGAGTTTAACCTCATAACTTGAGTTCTTCACATAATGTATTTACATTTACGTATATCTAGGCCAGGAGAAACACCGTCAAATAGAAAATTGGTATCGAAGAAAGCACCCCTTAGACCAATGTTTCACTAAAAGCGTGTCGCTATGGGATTCGTACCGCTTAATCTTTCTTAAAATTGACTAGGTTTATTGAAAATATTAAAAGATATTTATATCTCTAAATAAGTTTACGATGAAAATATATTTAAAAATTTATCTAATTATACTAACTATGCATAGTAAATATTACACTTTATTACATATATTTGGTCAAAGTGGAAAGTGTTTTAACTTCTCGAGATGAGAGAGAAAATTAGGGACAGAGAGGAGTACATAAATCACACACTGTCTTGTCCATCAATGGTGGAACTTCAGACCTTCAAAGTTTACTGTGTGCATGGTGGGTAACCCAAGATATTTCTCATAAAATTGTTAATTTAGCATGAAGTTTTGAAGGAGTGGCCCTATCATATTCGCCTCCATTCCAATTATTAGAAACATTTCCATTTGACATGTTTGTTTACACCAAAATTTGAGAAGAAGAACGCGGAAACTTAAAGCCTCCGAGATTG